ACAGGCGCCCGCCACCACGCCCGGCTAATTTTTTGTATTTTTAGTAGAGACGGAGTTTCACCGTGTTAGCCAGGATGGTCTCGATCTCCTGACCTTGTGATCCGCCCCCCTCGGCCTCCCAAAGTGCTGGGATTACAGGCGTGAGCCACCGCACCCAGCCTCAACTGCTGACATTTTCTAAGCCTCACCCCTCTCTCTTTTTTTCTCCCCACACCTGGACAAACTGAGAAAAAAGCCCATGTATTCTCTCCATTGGTGCTGGGAAATTCCAACTACATAAGGGAATCGTTAGCCTAGCCTAGCCCCACCACCCCTGCTATAAACCCTAAGACAGTCCTTTCCTTGCTCACTCTAGCCCCATCTGGACCTGCTTGGAGCTGTCCCCAGAAAGTCTCATTATGTGAGTAATGAGTCTTTTTATACCCTCTTACTGTGTGTGTCTCATCATCACTCTTGACATCTGAACCAAGTTTGGGATGGGGTCCATTTCTCCTTGCAGGTCATTTACAGCTGGGGCAGTGAGCAGGATGTCAAGGCAATGATCACCCCCACAGGGGTCTTTCTTCTCTTCCCAACTGGTTATACTACCTGCTGGCAAGTATGCACTTTGCCTCTGTCCTATACATAACTAACCTACATTAGAAGTTATCATGGACATTTAGAGGCAGGTGTAAGGACTTTGGGTCCTCCTTAAAGTTGCCCAGGGCCATGTGTCTCAGCCCAGACCTATCTATGTCTCAGATTATGTGTCTCAGCTGCAGCATAAGCTCTGAGTGATAACTGGCTCATGGGAACAACTTTTACTCTAAAACTGTTATTTGTGTGTCTCAGTCAGGCGTTGGCCCTGTTGTATACAGCACTCAGGGGAAAGACCAATACTGTCTGCATATAAGGGTCTGGCTGTTTGTGTGAAGGAAGACAAGATACAATGTAGCATGCCAAAAGCAGGTGGCTTGCCTTTCAAAATGTTGGCATCTTCTCTTGGGTTTTTTACTTTTCCCTCTAATCTATCTTCTCAGATAATTCAAAATATCATCTTGGAGTTTTTTACTTTTCCCTCTAATCCATCTCTCAGATAATTGATTCTGCTTTTCTAGTTATTTTTCTCATTTAGAAAAGCCTCTTTCTTACCTCCCAGTCATATCACCTACAACCATGTCTATATTTTCTCGTGTCTCAATTATTCTAATCCTATTTGTGATAATCCCATTTTTTCTTTTTCACTATTTCGTCTCAGATGCTGCTGATAGATTTCACTACTTAAAACATTGTGTGCTGTGTTTATCCTGTCACAGCTACATGGAACAAAACTAAAGTTACTACTTAATATCTAACATGTGACAGATTCTCCTCTCAGTAGGTTTGTAAGCTAGAGAAAGAATATGGCCTCCTATCTGCAATTCACATTTGTGCCTGTTTTCCATAACCATTTCTACCCCATGCTATTCTTTCATTCTCCCTCTTCATTGAGCCCTTTGATTATTATGTTATCTGTCTGCGTATTCAAATAATACACGTATTTTGGCTGGGCACAGTGGTTCATGCCTGTAATCCCAGCACTTTGGGAGGCCGAGGTGGGTGGACCACCTGAGGTCAGGAGTTTGAGACCAATATGGCCAACATGGCGAAACCCCATCTCTACTAAAAGTGCAAAAATTAGCCAGGCAAGGTGGCAGGTGCCTATAATCCCAGCTACTCAGGAGGCTGAGGCAGGAGAATCACTTGAACCCGGGAGGTGGAGGTTGCAGTGAGCCGAGATGACGCCACTGCACTCCAGCCTGGGTGACAAGAACGACACTCCGTCTCAAAAAACAAAGCAAAAGAAGGCTTGGCGCGGGGGCTCATGCCCGTAATCCCAGCACTTTGGGAGGCCCAGGCAGGCGGATCACAAGGTCAGGAGATTGAGACCATCCTGGCTACACAGTGAAACCCCGTCTCTACTAAAAATACAAAAAAAGAAAAAAAAATTAGCAGGACATTGTGGCAGGCTCCTGAAGTCCCAGCTACTCAGGAGGCTGAGGCAGGAGAATGGCGTGAACCCGGGAGGCGGAGCTTGCAGTGAGCTGAGAGCCCGCCACTGCACTCCAGCCTGGGTGACAGAGCGAGACTCCATCTCAATAATAATAATAATAATACACATATTTTGTGCTCAGCTTTCACTTACTCCTTGAATTGGACCTATTCAGAGAAACCTACATTAAATTATGTGATAACTGAGTATTTTACCCTTGTCCATTAAAAAGCAAAGTTTCTGTACAAAATAGTGAAATTAAACTCCTGAATTTGTGTTATAAGAAGAGGAGATCGTTTTGCTCTATTTCAGAAAGACTTTAAAATTTTTCTTCTAGGAGCAATTCAAAGGGCTAGAAAAACTAATTCGAAAGAGAGGGTAACTGCATGAAATCTTGAAAATTTCAATCTTTGTGCATTACACATTTGTTAACATGCACATCTATGCCAATTCAAATATAAATATGAGCGGTTCAAAGTATCTTTTTGTTGTTTATTTTTAAGTTAAAAGAGAGCCTCTCTGGAGTTGTGGTGAAATTTGAAATTAGCGTTTAAAGCAGAGAACCCCATATGATTAATGAAGGACAATGAATTTTGAATAGAAACAAAGGGTCAGAAAAAGGAAGCTTAAATGGAGAAAACGAAAAGACTGTATGTTTGGGTTCATTGATAAAATAGACTGCAGTGACTAATGGAAAGATGTGTGTTAGTCCCTTTTCTGTGGCCATAACACTGGGCAACTCTGTTTCCATGGCCGTTCAGGAGGGAAGTTTCTAGAAAGTCACTGTACCACCATCCCCTCGGGCAAGGGCTGACAATTATTTGTAAAGGCACAAAAGTGAATAGGCTCTGTGGACCATATGGCCGCTGTCACGACGACTCATTTCTGCAGTTGTAGCCCCAAAGCAGCTATAGACAATGCATCAATGAATGGGTATGGCTGTGTTCCAATAAAAACTTTATGGACACTGAAATTTGAATTTCATATAATTTTCACGTTGTGAAGTAGTATTCTTCTTTCGATTAATTTTTTGACCATTTAAAAATGTAAAAGCCATTGTTAGCTTTTGGGTAGAGGCCTGGATTTGGCCCAAGGGCTTCAGTGTTCTGAACCCTGCCCTAGGGCATTGCCAGCTTCATAGAACTGGGTGCTGCCAAGTGAGAATATACTGGTGGGAAAAGAAGAGGTTTGTGGGAGACAAACCCACTTTCTTAAGACATTGGCCTTATCACTCCCACTGATTAGTGAAAAAGAGTTACTCAGTCCCACCTAGTGACAAATGAAGCTGGACAAACCTAGTATTGTGAGGCAGCCACGTGCTTGGCTACAAGCTTAATATTGTGAAGGAAAGGCACAGGTTTGATGAACAGCTTTCAGTCTCCTCCTCTGATGTCTGGTTCTTTCCTGTTATGTCTTCTACCAGATGCATTTATCACATCAGTACCCCAAACCAGGGATGAAGAATTCAACTATAGGCCAGACATGGTGGCTCATACCTGTAAACCCAGCACTTTGGGAGGCTGAGGCGGGCAGATCACTTGAGGTCAGGAGTTTGAGACCACCCTGGCCAATATGGTGAAACCCCATCTCTACCAAAAATACAAAAATTTGTATTTTGACAAATACATGTATGGTGGCCCATGCCTGTAGTCCCAGCTACTCATGTGGCTAAGGCAGGAGAATTGCTTGAACCCAGGAGGTGGAGGTTGCAGTGAGCCGAGATCGTGCCATTGCACTCCATCCACTCCAGCCTGGGTGACAGAGTGAGGCTCCATCTCAAAAGAAAATAGACCAATTGTTACATAGAGTTGATTCAAGGCAAACACAGAGAAATGAGAGAGGCTATATAAATCTAACAAATGTATATAAATTTTACTGTTTGGCCAAGTTAGGAATACTAAGATATTGTAATTTTACTATAAACATAAACACATTGGTATTTAGGACACAGTGGATCATAGAGAAAAGAGAAAACGGGAAGATTGTGAGGATTTACGGATTAAGGATAAGAATCTAGACTCAGAAATACTTCTTTTCACAGAGTTTGTCACTTCGTTCTCCTGATACCTCACTCACCATGTAGTTCTACTACATTTGCACTGAATTGGAATCTCTTCTTCCCCAGTTACTAAACATTTGATTTGGGCAAATTACTAAACTCTTCTATGGCTCAGTGTCCTCATCTGTAAACTAGAAACAATAATAATACCAACAGCAAAGGGTTGCGATAAAGTGCTTTTTGTTTTTGTTTTTAAGAGACAGAGTCTTGGCTTGGCCTGCTGGCTCACGCCTGTAATCCCAACACTTTGGGAGGCCGAGGTGGACAGATACTTGAGGTCAGAAGTTCGAGACCAGCCTGGCCAACATGGTGAATCCCTGTCTCCACTAAAAATACAAAAATTAGCCAGGCCTGGTGGCACGTGCCTGTAGTTCCAGCCACTCATGAGGCTGAGGCATGAGAATCCCTTGAACTCAGGAGGTGGAGATTGCAGTGAGCTCCGATCACGCCATTACACTCTAGCCTGAGCAACAGAGTGAGACTCTGTCTTAAAAAAGAAAAAAAAGAGAGAAAGACAGGGTCCCACTCTGTCACCCAGGCTGGAGTGTAATGGTGCAATCAGAGGTCACTACAGCTTCAAACACCTGGGCTCAAGTGATCCTCCTGCTTCAGCCTCCTGAGTAGCTGGGACTATAGGCAAGTATCAGTAGGCCCAGCTTATTTTTTTTTTTTCTGTAGAGATGGGGGTCTCACTATGTTGCCTAGGCAGGTCTCAAACTCCTGCGCTCAAGCAATCCTTTCATTTTAGCCTCCTACAGTGCTGGGATTACAGGCATGAACCACTGCACCTGGCTGTGATAAAGTTTAAGTGAATTAATATAGAACTTAGAACAGCACATCTAAATGATATTGTTTATCATGTCATAAATGTAATGTATTAATGCTATTACTCTACATCATTGTATTACATATTATATACAAATGAGTTATTATACCTATATATTTATATATATTTAAAATACTTATGTATATTTGTTATATTTATATCGCCTCTCTCATTTCTCTGTGTTTGCCTTGAATCAACTGTTTTCGGTTTTTTTTGGTTTCTTTTTGGAGGTGGAGTTTCACTGTTGTTGCCCAGGCTGGAGTGCAATGGCAAGCTCTCAGCTCACCGCAACCTCTGCCTCCTGGGTTCAAGTGATTCTCCTGCCTTGGCCTCCCAAGTAGCTGGGATTACAGGCATGCACCACCATGCCTGGCTAATTTTGTATTTTTAGTAGAGATGGGGTTTCTCCATGTTGGTCAGGCTGGTCTCGAACTCCCGACCTCAGGTGATCTGCCTGCTTTGGCCTCCCAAAGTGCTGGGATTACAGGTGTGAGCCACTGCACCCGGCCTGAATCAAAGGTCTATTGTATTTTTATTTATTTATTTATTTATTTTGGAGACAGAGTCTTGCTCTGTCACCCAGAGTAGAGTGCAGTGGTGCAATTTCAGCTCACTGCAACCTCTGCCTTCGAGCCATTCTCTTGCCTCAGCCACTTGAGCAGCTGGAATTACAGGCATGTGCCACCATGCCTGGCTAATTTTTAGTAGAGACAATATTTTTAGTGTTTTTAGCAGAGATAGAGTTTTGCTGTGTTGGCCAGGCTGGTCTCAAACTCCTGGCCTCCAGTGATCTGCCCACCTCAGCCTCCCAAAGTGCTGGGATTACAGGCATGAGCCACTGCACCTGGCCTTATTTTCTGTTCATTGTTCTTTTTGTCAGTCTTATCTTTTCTTTCTTTTTTAGATGGGGACTTTGGTTTTGGACCTTTACAACAGAGAATGTCTGAAGAAATTTCTTTCCAGTCTGAGATTAATATGAATCTCTTCAAAAGAGATGACCCATATTCCATTTTAGAAGAATTGTGGCAAGATGATGAACACACAAGAAAATGTGGAGAAAACCAGAACAAACCTTTAAGTCATGTTGCCTTCATTAACAAGAAAACACTAGCTAACGACAGGGTCTGTGAATATAAGGACATTGGGGAAATAGTTCATGTAAACACACACCTGGTTTCCTCAAGAAAAAGACTCCATAACTGTAACTCATTTGGAAAGAATTTGGAGCCTATTGTAACCTTATGTAATAGAAACAATGCAACAGAAAATTCTGATAAGACTATTGGAGATGGTGATATTTTCACTTATATGAATTCTCATACGGAAGTGATGGCTTGTGAATGTAATCAGTGTAGGAAATCTCTGCATCATAAGCAAGCTCTCATTCAACATCAGAAAATTCATACTAGAGAGAGTCTCTATTTGTTTTCTGACTATGTAAATGTTTTCTCCCCGAAGTCACATGCCTTTGCACATGAGAGCATTTGTACTGAAGAAAAGCAGCATGAATGCCATGAACGTGAGGCAGTCTTCACTCAGAAGTCCCAGCTTGATGGCTGTCGGAGGATTTATGCAGGAATATGCACTGAATATGAGAAGGATTTTTCCCTCAAGTCAAACCATCAGAAAACTCCTGAGGGGAATTACTATAAATGCAGTGACTATGGAAGAGCCTTTATCCAGAAGTCAGATCTGTTCAGATGCCAGAGAATTCATTCTGGAGAAAAACCCTATGAGTACAGTGAATGTGAGAAAAACCTCTCTCAGAATTCAAACCTTAATATACATAAAAAAATTCATACTAGAGAGAAACACTTCGAATGTACTGAATGTGGAAAAGCTTTTACAAGGAAATCAACACTGAGTATGCATCAGAAAATCCATACAGGAGAAAAGCCTTATGTATGTACTGAATGTGGAAAGGCCTTTATCCGGAAGTCACATTTTATCACACATGAAAGAATTCATACTGGAGAAAAACCCTATGAATGCAGTGACTGTGGGAAATCCTTTATTAAAAAATCACAACTCCATGTGCATCAGCGAATTCACACAGGAGAGAATCCCTTTATATGTTCAGAATGTGGGAAGGTCTTCACTCACAAGACAAATCTCATTATACACCAGAAAATCCACACAGGAGAAAGACCCTATATATGTACTGTATGTGGTAAGGCCTTTACTGACAGGTCAAATCTCATTAAGCACCAAAAAATTCATACTGGAGAGAAACCTTATAAATGCAGCGACTGTGGAAAATCATTCACCTGGAAGTCACGGCTCAGGATACATCAGAAGTGTCATACTGGAGAGAGACATTATGAATGCAGTGAATGTGGGAAAGCCTTCATTCAGAAGTCAACACTAAGTATGCACCAGAGAATTCATAGAGGGGAAAAACCATATGTTTGCACTGAATGTGGTAAGGCCTTCTTCCACAAATCCCATTTTATTACACATGAGAGAATTCATACTGGAGAGAAACCCTATGAATGCAGTATTTGTGGGAAATCCTTCACTAAGAAATCACAACTCCATGTACATCAGCAGATTCACACAGGAGAGAAACCCTATAGATGTGCTGAGTGTGGAAAGGCTTTTACTGACAGATCAAATCTTTTTACACACCAGAAAATTCACACTGGAGAGAAACCTTATAAATGTAGTGACTGTGGGAAAGCCTTCACTCGGAAGTCCGGCCTCCACATACATCAGCAGTCCCATACTGGAGAAAGGCATTATGAGTGCAGTGAATGTGGGAAAGCCTTTGCAAGAAAATCAACGCTAATTATGCATCAGAGAATTCATACCGGAGAGAAACCCTATATTTGTACTGAATGTGGGAAATCCTTCATCCAGAAGTCACACTTAAATAGACACAGGAGAATTCATACTGGAGAGAAACCCTATGAATGCAGTGACTGTGGGAAGTCTTTCATTAAGAAATCACAGCTCCATGAGCATCATCGAATTCACACAGGAGAGAAACCATATATATGTGCTGAGTGTGGAAAGGCCTTCACCATCAGATCAAATCTTATTAAACACCAGAAAATTCATACTAAACAGAAACCCTATAAGTGCAGTGACTTGAGGAAAGCCTTAAACTGGAAGCCACAACTCAGTGTGCCTCAGAAATCTGACACTGGGGAGGTAGAGTGCTCAATGCCACAATTATGGCGTGGGGACTCAGGAGGTGGCCAAGGCCAACTTTCTTCTGTCTAGTTAGAATTATGAACATCTGGATCATACAGCCGATGTGCAGTTATGCATATGGGGAGACACTTTTGAGAGTGTTTAAGCATTGTATAGTGGCCATCTTTGGTTATTTGATATTGGTATTGTCAAGCTCCTGCAAATAATAGTAAATGTGCAAGGAGATGATTTGCAGTCTTTCTTGTTTCACTTTTTGAGCAAACAGTTTTATCAATTTAGGGCTGTTGAGTTTTTCATGTTCTGGGTACCAAAACTGTTCAATATTGACCCCCAAAAATTCATTAATGAGTAGAGTGATGAGATAATTTTACGTTGTCTAAGCAGCCTAAGGACACTGAGATCAAGGCTAAAGGAGGGCAGTTCAGGTCTATAATGAAAATGAATCAGCAGTTTTTGTGAAAACACTAAAGACAGAAAGGAAGGACTCTACTTTTTAAAAATTTTCTTTGGGAAGTCACCATTATATATTGTTGTATCTGTTGGCACATGCTGGGGCAGAAGTTAGCCAAGAGGTCTGAAATTACTCTTTGCCTATTTCTCAAAAGTCTATTTCCCCAGTGATGTAAGCAACAGCGCCCTAACTACTTATTACCTTAGAACTAGCGCTAAGGTCATGGAACTTAGCTACAGGGACCCAGATCTAGATAGCAGCACTTTAGATCCTCAGCTTTGACCACAGAAACGTGCACTTTTTTGATGTTGTTGTTACCAACTCCTGTTTGAAAAATAGGACAAATTAAGAAAATGGATATCAAATCCTAAAATCTTTCCCACTAATTTTGTTAGTACATTCTCTACATGTTTGTTACTTGCTAGATTACCATTTACTTAGAAGATAAAATGTAGTTGAACATTTGGAAGACTTCTCCTTTTATCTCCTCACAGTCTCTACAAACTAATCTTAATTTTGTTTTTCAAATTCTCTGTATTTGAGTAGACTATTTTTCTTCTATCAAATACTAAAAGAAGTGTGTTGTGATTTTACAAATAATTGTGAATTTGTCTCCTTTAGAGCTACTAATTTTTGCTTTATATATTTTGTCTTTGATTTTACATACAATTTAGAATTGTTATAATCTTTGTTATAACCTTGTTATTTGTTAATTGACACATTATCATTACTAGATGTTTCTTTTTATCTCTAGTCATTTTTGCCTTAAATGTACTATGTCAGATACTAATATAATACACATATGGATTAAAAGCTAAGGTAAATTAGTACTAACAACATTTCTGGACACGGGGAGAAGTTATAACATTAATTTCATTTATTTGTCTTTCATATGGTATTGATGATGTATATCTGGATTCTGTATATGGTGAACATAGCCAATCATTATTTGAGTCAATAGCCATTTAAACTAACCCACATATTTATCATTTTAATTACTGTTTTATTTTTCCTGTCCTTTAAGTTTTCCTCTAGAATTATTTTGCTTGTTACTGAAGGACACCCTTTAGTATTACTTTTACTGTGAGTTTGCTGGTGACAAATTGTTCTTTGTTTGTTGGCAGTGTTTTATTTTGCCTTCATTTTTGAAGGATACTTTTACTGAATATAGAATTCTAAGTTGAAAGTTGTTTTCTATTAGTATTTTGATGATATTTTATTTTGGTCTGTCTTTTATCGTTTTATTGAGAAGTAAGCTTTATATAATTACCTTTACAGGCAATCTGCTTTTCTGTCTCCTTTGAAATTTATCTATTTGCCTTTGTTTTTTAACAGTTGCACATTGATATGCCTAGGTGTATTTATCTTCCTTGGGGTTTATAATATTTTTTAAATCTGTGGCTTAGTGGTTTTGGTGTGTATGTGTGTGCGTGCGCACACATGTGCATTTGGGGAAATTCCTAGCTATTATCTATTCAAATTATGCATCTGCCGCATTCTCTTTCTCTGTTTCTTTTAGGGATAGCCTTATTACCTAGATCTCCTGTTGGCCTGTTTTCTTTTTTATTATTATTATTAATATTACTATTATTATTATTATACTTTAAGTTCTAGGGTATATGTGCATAACGTGCAGGTTTGTTACATACGTATACTTGTGCCATGTTGGTGTGCTGCACCCATCAACTCGTCAGCACCCATCAACTCATCATTTACATCAGGTATAACTCCCAATGCAATCCCTCCCCCCTCTCGGCCTGTTGTCTAATGGTTATTTTTCTTGAGTTTTGCTGATGTCCTGTGTCCTCATATGGTGATTTTTGTATCACTTGCCAGACAATATATATTAAAATTGTAGAGGTAATAAGATGCTCTGGATAATATCTTCTTCCAGAGAGGATTTGCCATAGCTTCTAACATAGCTTCTTAGGCTAGGATCAGTAGTAATCCCTGATTGCCTTTATCCAGTCATATATTAAGATTATTTGAAACTGGTCTTGAGTCTCTGGAAGACTCATCTTATTATATGTTCAGAATGTGAACATATAAACCTTATTTCTAGGATACTTTTAGGACTTAGGAGTTTGGGAGGTACGTCAGGCCCCTCCTCTTTGGAAAGACTTGAATTCTAGTATTTCTTCTTCGGTCACTTGAATTTGTCAAAAATTCTCTCCAGCCTCTCTTGCCCAGTATTTGCCTTCAGAATTAGCAAATACCTCTTGGTAATAAACAGTTTCAGACATTATGTCCCAAATTTCAGACATTATGTCTTATCTCCAGTTTTATTCCTGCAATTTCTCATTGCCGTGGTAGCTTTCTTTATGCCTTCAGAAAATTAAATGTGTTTAATATTTTCATCCACCTTTTTTAGTTCTCAAAGGAAGTACTAGTCTGTACCACTTGCTCTGCCACTGGCAGATGTTTTCAATTTGTTGAGATAGCTATTTATATATAAGAAGTATCAAGACCAAAACTATATTTTCTTACTTTCCAAAATTACTGACTTGTAAATGAAAATGCTTAGATGTGCAGCATTACTTTATTCCAATCTTTTGTTGCTAAAAGTCTTAAGGCATTCACTCATTTGTTAAAACCTTTACAAACTTTGATACATAAGAGAAAATTACCTCTGGTGGTTTCAAATTTTATTTTGGTAGCTGCCAAATTTAGCAAATGGAAGAGATTCACTGAAAGCTTCTCAGATGTCTTTTTTAATACTATGGTTTTTCCTTTGTATAATTAATAGAAAATGGGGTTAATGAAGACTGGTATAGAGTCCCAGGGTTTGAAAAATTAACTTAGGAGGATTACCGAGATAGTGATTCTTAACCTTTATTCTCAAGCACATTTTTAAAAATAGAATGTTACACTCCCAAGAAAGAGAAAAAACTATAAAAGAGCTACTTGACCTTTTGTCAACAAAGTATTAATCTGTAGAAGAAAGAAGGACTTTCTTCTGTGGGATTTCTTGCATCTCAAGGGGCACTTGTGGACTGATTGAGGAATAAATGGTGGAAAACTGAGCGAATTGGGAGAGCTAAATGTTAAGTAGAATTTAAAGGTCAGTATAGATTGGAGGCATGTGGAATATAGACTTTACTAGGGAGAATACTGTAGGTTCATATCTTCTTTTTTTTTTGTTTTTTTTTTTTTTGAGACAGAGTCTTGCTCTGTCACCCAGGCTGGAGTGCAATGGCACACAATCTTGGCTCACTGCAACCTCCACCTCCTAGGTTCGAGCAATTCTTATGCCTCAGCCTCCCAAGTAGCTGGGATTACAGGCATGCACCACCACACCCAGCGAATTTTTGTATTTTTAGGAGAGACAGGGTTTCGCCATGTTGGCCAGGCTGGCCATCATGTTGGTTGAAGTGATCCACCCACTTCATCCTCTCAAAGTTCTGGGATAACAGGCATGGCTCGGCCAGCCGTTATCTTTTTATGCCAGCACGCTATTATAGTTCATTTGTATTTACAACAAACTATTTTAAGACAGTTTTACAGTTTAAATATTTTAATAAAGATGCATTTTATTCTATTTTATTAATTTTAATTTTTTTTTAGTGACAGGGTCTCATGCTGTCACCCCAGGTAGAGTTCAGTGGTATGATCATAGTTCACCACAGCCTTGAACTCCTTGGCTCAAGCAACCTTCCTGCCTTATCCTTCCAAGTAGCTCGGGCCACAGGCGTTTGTCAGCACACCTGGCTTTTTTTTTGTTTTTCTTGAGACAGAGTTTCCGTTCTTGTTGACCAGGCTGGAGTGCGATGGTGCAACCTTGGCTCACTGCAACCTCTGCCTCCCGGGTTCAGGCAATTCTCCTGCCTCAGCCTCCCAAGTAGCTGGTACTATAGGCATACACCACTACACCTTGCTAATTTTTTTTTTTGCATTTTTAGTAGAGACAGGGTTTCACCATGTTGGTCAGGCTGGTCTCGAACTCCTGACCTCAGGTGACCTCAGGTGATCCACCCGCCTCAGCCTCCCAAAGTGCTAGGATTACAGGTGTGAGCTACCGTGCCTGGCCCTTTTTTTTTTTTTTTTTTTGGTAGAGATGAGGCCTCACTTTGCTTTGTTCCCCAGGCTGGTCTCAAACTCCTGGTTTCAAGCAGTCCTCCCACCTTGGCCTCCCAAGGTACTGGGATTACAGATGTGAGCCACTGCACCTAGCCAAAAATGCATTTTAAATTAATTTTTTAAAAGAGAATCATACTGTGTATTCAGAAAATAAAAGAAAACATACACTCAAACATTTACTTATGCATCAGATAATTCATAGGGGATAATAATTTTCTGTTTGTACTAAATGTGGGTAGGGTTTTCTTTACAAGTCATACTTCATTATATATCAGAAAGTGAATGCTGGAGAGAAACTTTATGAATATGATGACTAGGAAGTCTTACACCGAAAAGTTAGTGACGTGAACATAGTAAATTCACACATGAGAAAAAAAAAATAATTCAAATCCCATCATACACTCAAAACACCATTTGGAGAACAGAGCCTGTAAGAACACTAACTGGAAAACACTTCACCTGCAATTTATCAGAAAGTTTCTACCAGAAGGAGACAACGTTAAGAGCAAATGTAGGAGTAGCTTCACCCAGAAATCAGTTTTTAGTATTCTTCAGTATTTACACATGAGTGAAACTGTATTTCTTGGAAGTGAGAAAGCCTTTTCACAGAAGTCAGAACGAGTTTTCAATGACTCATACTACAGAGAAGCCCTGTGATTATTGTACATTATATATTGTATATGGAAAAATCTTTGTC